TAGACGCTTCGCAACTGCCAGCTGAGGAGCACATGAACAGCCTGAGAAATAGTTCACAGGAGCTTGAACTCCAGAGCACACATTTGTCACTTGAGTAGAAGTAAAATCTCTTTCTGAAAATATATATAGCCCTGTTATTTTCTTGTCAGGTGAGATGTTATTAGACCCAGGTTCAGTTTCTCATAGGGATTTGCCCTCAGGGAAGAGGGGAGCTGAATACTTCAGTCTGAAACTCCCAATTCAAAGGCAGCATCTGCTGCATTCCCCAATAGTAGGCGACTTTCTTCACCAAGATTTTTGTGTTTGTTTGTTTGTTTGTTTGTTTTCTTGTGCTTTAAAAGATTTTCAGAAGGCAGAAGTGAACACAGCACTTGGACCACAGCAACATATCTAATTTTATCCAGTCTAGGGCAGCAGTATACACTCAGACAATGTAGCCACGAAGGGCAAGAGGGCTACCCATATCTGTGTGTCACCAATCCAGAAAAAAAGGAAACGCCTGCAACGTACAGAAAGAAGACAACTACAGTCAGCTCTGGAGGAACTTGCACTCATATTACAGGCTGTCAGGAGTCACAGCTATGATGTGCAGAGCCTGCAATGACTTCCCTAGAAGCCAGCCCTATCTGAACCCACACATCCTGCTCTGCTGCTCAGACATGGTCCCACATTAGCAGTCTGGGCTTTGTTTCATGCCCAGAAACAAACAGAGGGGCAGTGCTGGCTGACAGAGAAGTGAATGTGTCAGTGCAGAAAAGGAGTGCAGGGGGGGTAGGAGAGGGCTGGAGAGTCCGGGAAATGATTGCGGTGGGGGGAGCTGGAGGGAAAGCACAGAGTGCTCACCACGCAGGCAGATCTTGGAAAGTTTTGAGAGCTTTAGAAAAGCAAGTTCACCCAGAACCATGGCTACTGTATGGAGCTGATGTCATCTGGCTCTGTGCATAAAAGCCTCCACTTTTTCTTCTTTTGTGTGGTCCCAGAATGACATCACCTCGGAGCACAAGAACATACCTTTGTGCTGCGGCACTTCCCCTGCTGGCTCTGCCACACATCTCACTCCTCCCGCTTACGTCCCTCCTTTGCCCAGAAATGCTCCTTGACCTCCACTGAATGCAAAACAGCACTGTCTAGTCGGAGAGAGCCTTTTGGGAGCCCGTGAACTCCAGCAGTCCATGGTAGCACAGAGGAGCTCCTATTCACACAATGTATAGCATGCCATACACCTCAGCAACCCGCAGTAGGGCCTCTGCAGCCGATTTCAGCTGCTTTACAATGCTGTCAAAGCTGAATGGTGTGAACTGATTAGACAGACAGGGCAACTGTGGCTATTTAATTATTTTCAAGGTTGAATCCTCTTTGATGGGGTGTACAATAGCATATGATTTAATCTTGTTGCAGTCCAATATTGCTGTTAAATAAGTAGAGTGAAGAAGTTGCGTTTGTAGCCTGTCTTAAGCAGTGTACAATCATTGTACAATCACTAACAGATTGGTTTATAATTGGCATGCATGCTTGCCTATTTAACGAGGCCTGTGACACTCTTTGTGACAAGCAACACAAGAGAAAAAAAAACACCCAAAGCACATCCTGGCCAATGTTATTTCATGCAGAGAAAGGAGGGGGGCAGAGGCTGGAAGGTTGGAAGTGAACGCACTGCCCAAGAAAACAATCACCACTAAAGAAAACTAGAGAGAAGCCTGCAGAGAAGGAAAAAAAAAAAAGAGCCTATAGGAATCAGACAAACTGAGAGCTTGTTTCCTATTAGAAAGTCCAAGTCCCCCTTGAATGGTGTATATCTCCTTTTCAGCACATAAATTCTGAAGGTGCACCTCATCCTGTGCCTACTCCTGTAGATGAAAGGGTATTTTGCTTACAGATAATCTTCAAAGGTATGTATGTACAGAAACATTCACTGAGAAAGTATTGGAGCAATTATGAGTAAATGCAATATTTTCAGTGCTCTAATAGGTTATTTCTACTTAGCTGACATGTTGACAACCTAAGCTGGGACTCTACTTTGTATACAGAAAAGAAGAAAACATACTTTCCCTGAAAAACCTGGTCAACTTACCATTGACATGCCACAGCATCTGGAACCCACTTCTAGCATTCAGTCCATCAGAATAAAATGCCACATGGAGACTGGTCCCTGTGGTGCTCCCTGCCAGCGGAAGAGACTGTCCACAGAAAGTACCTATCAGGTTGGATCGTTCATCAGGTCCATCATAGAGCTGAAATGAAACAAAGAATATCCCAGTAGGTAAAAAGCAGCTCCCCAGTTCTTAGTGTTTTGCATAGGATGTTGAAGAAAGCACTGATGCTCCAACACACAGCCACCCTGACGCAGCAATATCAGCCATGGGGAATGTGGGAAGGTTTGGATGAAACAATGACCATATGCAACTGCAATATGTCTTAAAACCTGGCTGCACATCATGTGGAGCAGGAATGTCTTGCTGTTTCTGTTTTGGTGTGTATTGGGGGTTGCTAGGGAAGAATATAAGGGGCAAACACAACAATGAACTGAAATAGAAAGAAAAAGGGGATGTCATAGGTCCGATTTTACTATGCATCTAACATACTCAGTGCCTCCAAACCCTTTGGTGGTAACCCAGATTATTTGCTTATTTCTGTAAGACTGCACTCAGGTGATTTCAGGACAGACTGAATTTATGGTGGACTAAACCAAGGAGTCAGCATCACCAGAGCCTCACAGTGTAGTGACGGCAAACTGAAAACAAAAAGAAAAACAAATCCTCAAAAACCACAAGGCAAAATTCACGTTTGTTTATTTTGTCATGTTCTTATGCTAGTGTCCTACTTTGGAGGAGAAGTGGAGTCATGATTTCTGAACTTTTGCACCTAGAAATACTTTACAAATCATATTCTACGTGATGGTATTTTGACAGTCAGAGTGTTGGCAGATGTAGCCAGCCTGAAAATCTTTCTGTTCCCCAAACACAAAAGAGAATTCTTCCATCCTACTCTTGAAACACTAATGCTCTAAAAAAAATGGAACAAACAACATGATAAGGAAATATTCCTGCATTAAATCTTAAAATCTGAAGCTAGTCAGATGCTCCCATTTAAATAAAAACACTTAAGACATGTTTTCATGGAGTCATAGTGGGTGCCCTGAGCTTTTGCACCTCTTTACATCAGTTGTCTCCAAACAGGTTTAAAGACTTTTTCTCATCCTAGCCAGTGGATATGGCACTTTTTTCATATCCAGTAAATCACACTGAATATGCATCTATGTTCTTCACCAAGTATTGCAGTGCTCACTGTCATTATTCAGGGAGAAAGGTGTATAGTCTTTGTAAACTTAGTAAAAAATAAACATAAATAAATTGCATTTGAATATGATACCAGACTGCCAGTTGTTGTCAAATTATGAGTTGCTTTACTATTTCTTCTTTAGTTACTGTGATTCTGAACATTTAGAATAACAGGAACCCTCATGCTTTTTTACCACTTTGCTGCAGTTTGTCCAACCTTCTGTCTCACAGAATAGAACATCTTCCTAACACAACCCAGCAAACTACTGGCACAGAAACCATGTCTGAGCATTCTCATTGTGAGTTTTTGGCATGTTTCCTTTCAGAATTTCAACAAAAACTTTTCTCTGTTCCGAAGCCATCACCATAAAATTCTCCCCACGCAAAGAATCAAATCTACGATCTCTAGATAGACAGCCAAGGTTTATTTATCTTTGCTCTCCACTCAAATCTCTTTTCTAAATACCTCTGATTCCACTAACAATTCGCCTACATTGAATGCCGATAATATGGAAGTGTGATATTACAGTAAATATTGACTAACCGTGCTAGCTACTTCTTTTGCACATTTTCCAGCACTCACGTATGATAATCAATAATTAAGCCCTCAGCTTTTCTCTTCAAGATGTTGGTCTTGCAAAACTTTCAGAAACCGTGTTGTTGATTTAAGACATAGTTGGGGGCCAGAAGTCTACTCAAGTGGTTTCAAATCCTCAAGCTGACAGTCAGGTTTGAATGTGTTTTTTCAATAAAAAAAAAAAAAATAAATTGAATGTAGTTCAGCCAGAAGTTAGGGGCAAATTGCAGGAATAATTCTATGGTAATATTCCATGGCCTGTTTTATGGCTTGTGACCTTGAATCTTTCTGTTTTTCAATCCTCTAATGCCATGAAATGCCCAGAGCATGAGGAATGTATTGGAACTTGAGAACTATCATGCCGTGGTGAAATCAGAAAAGCCTGAAAGTTTCTACTTGCCAACTGATTGCTGGTAGTTCTTGCAAAGCCTTGACCAGATGTGTTTGGTAATTGACATAAAATTATCATAAAGATTAGATGTTAACGAGTTGCATTCATCTGCATTCTTTCCAAATATAAAGCTTGACATACAGATGACACCAGCTGACATACAGATGAGCTGCTCCATGCCCAGCATTACAGTTAGGACCTTCTCTCAAGCCAGGCTGAGACCTTTACGCATTCTTCTATGGCTTAAGCTCAGCAAAATGAAATAAGTCAGATCCAACTACATTTTTAGTAGTGCTACTTCCTTCGATGGCTTTGTGGTATATACGACTCATTTGTGTGGCTTCAAGCCATGGAAATCTTACACCAGAAAAATGTGAATGGGGAAGAATGAATCAATGTGGGGACAACGAATCTGAACTCTGAATGAGAGCCAAAGAGACACATATTCAACGATCAGCCATTAGCTTCGGTGATTACAAATTAAAAACTTTCTAAAGAGCTATGGACTAAATCATTTCAAATCAAAACAAAAAAACAAGCTTCATGAGTCTTCCGTAACTTTGAATCATCGGGGAGTGTTATTTTTATCTAAGACGGCGAGCGTCACATTTCTGTGTAATTTGCCCTGAAAACAGCCAGTGGGTTTTTCACGACACAAATAATGGTCACCATGGCAATCCCTTCATGCGGCGCTGCCCCGTGGTGCTCGGTTCAGGCTGGAGTTTCACAGGAAATTCGAGTGCCTGGCCAGCTGTAACTCATTGAGAGAGGCAGAGCCACCGCTGCTAGAATTACAGAGGGTTTTTTTTCAAGCTGTCTTTCACTTATAAATGAAGGGAACAGCTGTGTGTTTTCACAAAGCATTCTGAACATCGAAAACCACATCTTGCTCTCACACAAATACGGGCAAGTGAAACTGAAGCTGAGCGCCCATCTCATGGGCCACAATTTCTCTTCTGATCTCCGAGGCAGTGTTTCTCATTTAAGGGCCTGCTTTGTCAGCTGTGCCATCCGAAACTGCTGCAAATCGAGAGAAAGCCCTACCCCAGGCAACACGAGGCATGGCACTGCCTTGGTCTGCGCAAGGTTAGCCACTCCAGCAGCATACTGGCTGTAGGAACTGGGCACGGGGCTCCCTCCCAGCTAACCACTGGGAAGAGAGCATTTACTCCCTTTCCATGCAGGGAACCCTTCTGTTATTTATTTATTTATTTCTTCAGGCCTGTTAGCCTCCATTAGAAAATCCAAGGGCTTTGTAATGATGTTGACAGATACTGCAGCACAGTTTAAGATCCTTAGCATGGCAAAAAAAGCAAAGCCTCCCTTCCCCCTTAATGAAACCAGCTGCCCAGCAGCACTCAAGAGTGCTTCATTACATTAGCCCACACCCAGGCACCAGGTCCAGGCCATGATGCAGTACCTTCAGATGAATCATTACGCTTAGGTTCAATAACTGCTATGGGAAACCCCTTATCAGGTTGCCCAGGAGCAGGCGCGTAGGCTGACGCAGCAGTGCGAAGGGGAGGTACTAGCTCTCTAGGGGATGAATCGGGCTGAGGGACTGCCCTGCAGCAAGGTGGCAGCTGAAAACCATCTGCTGAAGGTTGGAGCAGGGCCGTGACAGCAGGCTAGCTGAGGCTGCAGGTAAGGGCTCGGCTCGGATGGCTCTCCCAGAGGAGACACGGTGGTCACCAGTGGCCAGTGGATGTTGGCTTTCTGGACTCGTCAGCCTGGAAGCGTGTCACCAACACCAGTAATGATGATCTGCAGGCCACAGCTGTTCGCCGCTCTTCGGAGGAGCAAAGCAAAGCACATGACCTGTGGCAGAGGAGCCCATTGCCAGAAGTGGAGTAAAGGCTCGGTGACTAAGCTTACTGGAAAACAGAGTTTCTGCTATGTGGAAAGAAGTGAATTGGAGGAAAGAAACTTTGAATGTGCAGCGGGGACATTTTGCAGCCGAACGCCTTGTCAAGACTATTTCCTCTTGCAAAGTGAGCCTGGCAGGAGCCTTCCAGACAGGTAGCGGGGCTCCATCTGTTCTGTTCTCCTAGCAGGAAGCTGATTTTTCTTAGGGCAAAACTTTAAATTTCTCTGTGAAAAGGGATATTTTTTCATCAGAAAAATTATTATAATGGGAAACTCCTAGCCTAATCTGCTCTGGAAAAAAAGCTGCTTACAAATATTTGATACGAAGAAGCCATAGTTTTGATCTGGAGATGATGGACTCATCAAAGGCAAGCTTTCAGTTACCTATGACGGGATAAGCCATCCTATGAATACTGATCCCCCTCATTTTTAGAAGGGATCATTCAGAGTTCTCATTTTCATTGCCAATAATTCTATTTTGGGCAGATAATTCTATTATCTGTCATCAATAATTCTATTATCAGATGGCATTCATTCATTGTGTAATAATGAATAATTACATCAATTATTCTCTCAATTTGAGTCATTGTTTGCAGTCTGAAGACAACACCACAACAGGTGTGGGCTGTCTGCAGAATTCAGGAAAGGAGATTGCACCTTAGATTAGATCACCATGACAAGTGTCCCACCCACCACTGGAGCCTCTAGAGACATCCTTGAGGAGCTATTCTGACACAGACAAGCATCTCCTTCCCCTTAAAAGTGTGAAACCTAATATGGCATTGTTTTGACTGATCTAAACACTAGAGGCAGTGATTACAGGTAGCAGCTCTTCCTGAAGAGATAAGTTTTTGAGAAGGAAGTTGTGATGACATCGCAACAAACCTGTTACCAGAAAATGAAATAATGCAAAAAACAGATAATATAATTATCATCCAACTACCAGAATGCACTACAAAAAAAGAGATCACCACTAATTGTTAAAGCAAGAATTAACACAGGTGAAAATAATCCATTTCATAGCAGTACATTTCCTTTGAGAAGAAACTAGAGTGCAAGCTTAAGAACCTGCAGGTCTGTCAGCCAGAGAAAAGAAACAAAGTGAAGCTGCAGGATGTGGCACATTGCTCTAGCTTAACACCACAGCAACATAGCTTTCACAGAAACAAAGGTAGCTTAAGATTTCCAGTGATTTACTGTGAAGCCTTGTTATTTTTATCTCTGCACAAACAGGAGACTGACATAAGGTTATGTTTGTGTTTGCAAGATGAAAAGTGTTTGAAGGTACCACCTGATAAAGGCCCTCCTTCTATAAACTCTCTATAAATAATGTTTTATAAGTAATAAGTAATGTTTTAGAATCGTAGAATGGCTTTGTTTTGAAAGGGACCTTAATGATCATCTAACTCCAGCCCCATTAACATTTGCATATGTTTATGCCCTAGATGACCCTTGATAAAACTCCTTGCTCTGACCACGGTGGGCAATTTCCTTCACTAATTACCCATTTTCTTCCATAGTGCAATAGAGTTTATCATGGGTCACTGGACATATAGATACATCAGTTAATCTCTTTGTGATATATCTAACATATGGAAATGTATAAATGTTTTATAATAGTAAGACTCATATCAGAATCTGTGTTTTGTCTTATAACCCAAGCCTGAAATACTCACAGAATATCCTGAGTTAGAAGGGACACACAAAGATCAAGTCCAACTCCTGGGTCCCCAAAGGACCACCCAAAAATCAGACCATGTGTCTGAGAGCATCATCCAAATGCAGGCTCAGAGCCGTGACCACTTCCCTGGGAAAACCCTTTGAAAATTTCAAGCAAAGTTAAATTCCACATCGAACTGCAGTGACATTTTTTAAAGAAGTCATCTCTTACAATCCTGTTTACTACCTCCTCAAAGAAAACAACCAGAACTTCTGACTGTGGACAAATCTGCTTATTCCAAACTTTCTAAGAAAGCCTTATTTCTGCAAATGATATAAGAATAACAGCAGAAAGCTGCTACAGTGGGAGAAACACCTTACAAAGAGACAGGGCTGTGCCTGGGAACACAGCAACTGGGGGAAATGGAGAAAGAGAGCCCACAAAACGAAGCCTAGGCGGGTCTGAGCAGTTTGCAGGGTTGCTGACTTGTGTGCATGGCTCTGTGCTGCTCCTCAAGTGCTTCACCAGTCTGGGTGAATCAAACTGCCAGCACAAGCAACATCATCATGCTGACATTGTCACAGGCCAACGGGTATGGGATCCTCTCTGGGAATCTCCCCATTTGAGAAAATTTGCATCACGTGTAACTGTGGCAATGGAGGAGAGGTGCAGCTTGGTCTTGGCAAAATACAGAAAAAAAAAAGAAAAAAAAAAAAAAAAGGATGGGGGCGGGGATTGGGAATGTTCCTGTCCATTATGCTTTCAGGAAAACAAAACTGCCAGCTCACAGAAACAGCAGGAAGAGGAGGGACAAGCCCTTCCTCAAAGTTTGGTATGGTTTTCTCTGGCTTTTCTGTGGGCTTCCCTCTGATGAGGGGAAGCTTTGACTAGGTCAGGAGGGCTTTCTCCTGACACCGTATAGCTTCATATTGTGATGCCTGCACTGACTGGGATGAGCGGCTTCATTGCACAGATGGTCCTACACACTGGCCAAGCTTTCCAGAAAAATTTGGAGAATGGGATGAACAAAGGAGAGAAGAATCCAGCACTATTAAATGAGTTACAAATGCTATTTCTCCAGCAAGGGGCACGCACGCTACTATCAGCTACATGTGCTAGTATTTCACAGTCACTTCATTGTACAGTGTTTTTTTCCTGAAGGTACAGGCAAAGTCACATTGCTCTGAGCTGGCAGGGCGTAGACAACAAAATGTCCATGAAGCTCTGACTCATTTTGTAAGTCCAAGAGCAGAGTTTCTGCTGCCTTCCTGTGCCACTCGTGCTTCTTGTCATCTGAGGTTTCTGCAAGCATCATGCAACCATTTCACCACTGACAAATTTAGCAGTTGTGATGTGTTTTTTTTTTTTTTTTCTTTGTGCATTTCTAAAGCCTGCTTCTAAGTAACCTTTTGAAAAGTAAAGCCAAAGTGTACTTCAATTGTGGCAATGCAGGCAAATGGGAAAACAGAAAAATCTTTCTGAGCCCTGAGCCAGTCTCGTATAGGGTGAACAGCTTTTGGGCCTGACTTGCTCCTTTTCCTGATTACCCAGATCTCTCACTGAAAATCAGTGCAAGAGCTGAGATGTCCCTGTATACAAATGGTGATGTCTGCAACAGAGACCTGAGGACAGTTGTCACTTTTCATCCCTTCAGTCTTACACCAAAGAACTTCTCGTGAAGGCCCATAAATCCCTGAAGGAATTCAGGGATGGGCTGGCGTGCTGCCAGCTTGCATTAACGGATACCGCTGCTGCCTGGCCAGCAGGCTGTAATTTGATGTCTGTGTGCAGAACCTGGATGGGTATATTTAATATATCGTCTGGTTCCCCAAGGTGATGTACTACCAGTGACATTTTGTAAATCAATGCATGGCCATAAGCAAAGCCATTCTCTGTGCTTGGAGAATTCCTGCAGCACTTTAAAAAGGCACAGTAATAAATAAAATGTCATAATGTTAATCTCCTAATACAGTTTAAGTATATTTACTAATTACAAGTACAGAGGAGAGCAAAACTAGAAACGGGGTAAGCTTCCTTTCCCCTATGGGAAGCTAACAAAAAAAAGAGGATGACCAGCTGAGTGCAAGAAACAATTATCTAATGCATTATTCACAGATGGAGAAAAAGGATGTTATGGCACATCTCTGGAATGCTGCTGTGGTTTAAAAAAAAAAAAAAAAAAAAAGGACATATCCTGTTACTACCAGAAGGAAATTAAACAGTTCTAGGGAGCAGATGTCATATTAATTACTGTACTCATCTGATAACATCTATATATAAAGGACGCAGTGGTATTTTAACCACCTAAGTCTAATCATTGAAAGACGAAAGACACTGGCAGTAAGTAAGGAAGGAAGTGCTCTATTCCAAAAAGGAATAAAGTCCTGCCTTGCAGCCACTGCGGTGAAAGGCCACTGTGGTTATCAGCCAGACAGCTGTCCTGATAAGGTGTGCTTTTACATTAACCCAGTGTAATACCATTGGTGATACCTTTGGGTTAATGGTAATTCCATCCTTGCCACTAGACTAACATGCTGCACAGGTCAAAGGGCATGAGGTTTAGAGAGCTCCGAATCTTGTCCTGCCACATGACATTTTACTATCTGCTTATCAGGCTGGTGGCATCTTGCAAAAAACTGGGCAAGGTCTTCCCTGTGTTTATAAAAGCAAATGCTAAACAGACTGGACTTCCATGGAAGGTTATACTTTGTGAACAGAAGAATATAGAGGAAGTTTTTAACTGCAGGACAGGAAGATTAGTGGTTTTCAAATAATATTTTTCTTAGATAAGAGAGGAGTAAACTTCAATCTTACTGCAGGACTCTGATCTTCAGGCAGTAACATTACATTCTCCATACTTACAAAATAGCTTTGTTTCTGTGGAGATTATGTTCTGTCATACTAAATAAGAAGGTAATTCATCATTGTAGATGGGGGTTAAATATATGCTTGTTCAGCTAATAACCTGGTGAGTTTAGAGGAAGGAATGACATTTCCATGTCATTGTCTGCAATATCTCACTGTCTTCAGGCTGATGACTCCCCTAGAAATACTAATGTTAGGTTATTAGGCCAAGCCACAGCATGAAATATAATTTAAAGAGCTTCCAATCTAATTACGGTTAGTCCAGCATCACAAAGAACCAGTCTGCTCTTTGGGTATGCCTTGTATCTTATCATTGCCACTTCTGTAAAAGTATTTATCACAAGCAAGTCATCTTTTATTCTTGAAATATCACTGTAAAGCTCCCTGCGAAATGCCAGGCATCCTGTGAGCATTACCAGCAATGAGCCAACATTGTCTGACAGGCTGATACGCAGCACACTGAGCGTTTGCTGAAGTGCTCACATCAGATTCATGCTGGAGGCTGCCACTAGAAAAATCTGCAGGTTTGCCTCATTCCAACACTGTCCCTTCTTGATTTCTGGCACCTAAGCACAAGGGCAGAAAATCACCACCAAATCAGAGGAGCAAAGCTTCTTCCCTCCTGCCTGGCACAGGTATAAATCCTTTTAATCTCCCGCAGCAGTGGAGATGCAGGCCCTGGCCAGGCCAGGCCGAGTCAGAGTCACTCAAGGCTCCCTGCCGAGAGCGACTGCTGCTCACCATGAGTAATGCCAGCCAGCAGCTGTTCTGGCTCACGACAAGCATCCCATGATCAAAGGAGAAAAGGAAATAGGTAATGGAACACACGGCTGATTTCTCCTTGCACAGCTGTGACTGCATTTCAGTCTGAGATAGCCGTGCACTGCACTTGCACTTGCCTGTACCCTTTGGACATCTGACTATCTCGTTCCTCAACTTTGATTTGAAACCGTTATTTGCTCTAAGTGATGATAACATCTTTGGTAACAGCCAACCACTAGGAATACCTGTGCGAGGGACCTTTTGGTTTTGTCATTATTCATATTCAATTTCTGACTCATATGGGGATTAAGCCAGGGAGCAAACAGCAAATGAATGTCTTCTGTGTGTATCAGATTGAATTAGTCAGGAAGCAGAATGCTCTTTGCATATACTGCATGTGGGTTTGGGTCAGAAGAGTAGGCTATAATTAAACACAAAGCTGAAGAACAGGCCCTTTTCCATTATAGAGAGTGGGACCCAAACCGCAGTGTCTGGGCCAGGGGCAGCAGTACCAGGAATGCAGCCTTCCCTCTCTAGCTCTCCCCGCCCTACCAACCACCGTAATTTTCTCCTACAGAAATCAGAAAGATTTTCCAAAAAATCAGAGTTCTAGTTTAAGACACTAATGATGTCATAAAAATAGGCATTAAATCTATTTCTCCCACTGTCTTAAAAGCAGCTTTGTTCATCATTTTCTTTTGCAACTACCATTTCTTGATTGCACTCTGTTCAGCTCTCTGCCACAACACCTCTGCAGCATTTCGTCTCATCTTTCTGTATCACTCATCTCTTTCCCTGAATTCCTCTGCCATCACAACTGTGATCATCACCTATCCAACCTGACAGCTAGCCCTCATCCTTCCCAACCCCAGCCTCCCATCAAGTGCCACCAAACCAGCCCTCTGCTAACTACCATGGATCACCAGGCTGCTCCTGTTGGGGCAGTCACAGAGCTACGAAACAGGCATGGTGTTGCTGCCTGCTGCAAGGGGCTCAGCTGGAAGAGCTGCTGTCACCAAGCCCCAAGGAGGTGGGAAAAGGGATACCTGAAAGCACCTGGGGGAAGAGAGCACCTGATCAGCACCAGTGGCCACTCAGTCCTGTGAGTGGAGCAATGTGGAAACAGCGTGAGCAGCAGCTGCCAATTTTCTCTAAGAAAACGGTGAAGAGCTCTGGCACATGGTCTGTGCACCACCCACTTGGACTGCAGTGAACAGGATTATACCTCTGTTTTCCCAGTCTTACAGTCAGCCAGGGCATCAGAGCTTTCCCCTTTTAGGCCTCTTTGCAATAAACAAATCTCAAAACTAGCATGTGGCAGAAAAGTAATTTTATATCAGCTGAACAGCTATGACTCTTTGTCTTTTTTTTACATTAACCCTTTTTCCAATTTGCCATGGAATCAGATTCCGCATGGATTTCATACCGAGAAGTCCCAAATATCTGCAGACTGCTTAGAAAGTGAACCACAGACTTGTTCCAGATGATTCCCCCTTTCCCCTACACCACAGAGCACTTCACAGCCTTGCCAATGTGCTCCCTTTCGCAAGACACAGGGTGAGAGCAAATGCTAGTCAGTTCCCTGGCTGGTTCAACCTTGTTCTCTTTTTTTACACTATGGCACATATTTGTGCAGCATGCAACAACCGAATAAGAACATCTTTTCCAAGTGGTATTTCTTAATGGCATTTGGAGAAAGACTTCTTCAAGTAATGTGACATGAATTGCAAATTAAAGCCTCCTTAACACACTTCATGACTCTCTTTTTCCCTTGCATTTTACTCTTTATACCTCTGCATTTTACTCTTTATACCTCTTTCAGTCTGTGTTTTCTTTGCTTGGAAGCAATGAAACATTGTTAAAACAAAGAGTACTTTTCTGCTACCCATCTGCTCCCTCCCTCTGATGTGTTTTATTTCTGTTCTTTAAGTGCTTTGGATCAGGTCCTTGCCTCTGGCACTATTTCTCCAGCCTTGAGCTACGCCTAGAAGAGTGTTTTCTGGCAAGTTTGTTGCTCCTCACTGGCTGGCTACTGTGTGCAGGGCTCCTGCCTTTCACGGATCAAGGGCTTAGGGATCTGGAGACTAGCACTGGCCTCTCCATTTGGCTCCAGTATTTCCTTTTCAGACTCCTCACAAAAAATGAACAAGGTTTTAAGCAACTTCTGCTAGCTCTCAATACAGTGCTCCCTTGTTTATTTTCTTTGCATGTCTATTATTTCTTTCCACTCCTGGCCAATAACAGAATAAATTTGGAAAAAAAACTCCACTTTTTGCCAGTTTATTACCAATTTTTGAGCTCTGAAAGATGGCATAATAAGGAGTTAGGGGGAGTGAGGGAGAACGTCTAGAGGGAGTTCATTAGTCCAACGCCAGGCCTGTTGCTTGACTTTCTGCAAGAGCCCGCTGTAAGTAAGCATCCCAATAAACGTGGGCACGGTTCCTTAGCTCTCTTGTTGGCTGTAAGTAGCCTTCTCTAATATGTCTCTAAATTTCAATTCCTCTTGTGCAAAACCTAAGTAGAGCACAGGGGCTGTGTTCTGGCATCCTGTACAAGGGTGAGATGTGAAGGATGGGTTGGTTCAGCAAAAGATTGAAATTGTAAGCAGAAGATTATAACCTTCAGTATAGCAGTGATCATGACTGCATTCTACTTCACACAGCATGAAGTACAAAACTGAGAGAAAATACATCTTCAGTCGTCCTAGAAATAGATTTTTTGAGGAATCGAAATAAGAAAATATTTGTCTTTAGATTGACTGGATTGTTTCATTTAGCTAAAAAAACTCTTCTGTGGATAATTTCAATTTTTTTCAGTCCTTTTAAAGAATTAGGTTAACTATGACAAGTAGGTTAATGTAATCAAGAGACACAGCAACCTTCTATTAAAAATTGTAGAATTAAAATATTTTAAAGCTTTTGAACATTTCCCATTACTTTTCAGATGAAACTGAGAAGAGAATAATTGGGTCCACTGTGTTTTAGTAATCATTACTAATCTCAGAATTTCTTCCACTTCTTTACATGACACTGCAATGTCATCTCGCTGCAGCCATAAAAACCAGTGCATCTAATCTAAGTTGGTATCTAAGCTCTCTGTATCAAATCTAGGCACCTGTGTCCTCCCTGCTGCAGACATCTGTCTTAAGGCAGGATGAATTGGTCTCTGGCAGTGCTTCACTCCCTACTGACCACAGTGGAAATAGGGAAAATACATTTGGACATACAGCTTTTAATGGCTACATTTAGATAAGATAAATTTACCCCTGGTCTTCTGCATCCTCGTTGTTTTTCATTATTGGAGAAGATCTGGTAGTTCTTGTTTCTAAAACCCGAGTACATACCTTCAAGTAGTCAAAGTCACAGTCAGATCCATCTTCTAAATCAAAGGCTGTGAAGCTATAGTTGAGCGTGTTCCCCATTGTTGCTTGAATGGTCCAGTTGCAGTGCTCACTTAAGGGGTAATTATTTGGATAATTTAAACTTTCCAATATGCCATGGCTACGGTTAACAGTCAGAACTTCGTGGCAATCTGAAAAAGAGGTGATAGATTATATCTGTGCAGTGTTT